CTCTTCTACCTGTTCTCGTTCGTCCTCAGCGACGCGAATGTTCGATATTTCCGCCGAATAAATGATGCAAAACGATGACAGAAACCATCCTCGGCGCCAGAAATAGAGAATACATAGCTGGGATACTTGGATAAGTACATTGACAAGTACGGAGAAACTAACATCTGGCATATTTTATCGTACTTAAATTTTAAGGGCGTCTAGATATCCCCCCCTGTATTTCGTATTTCTAGTTCAAAGAGAAAAAGGCACAGGTCCTTTTCTGTGACATCCTCGCGTGACTCGTGAAAGAAGATCCGTAATTTTATATTCAAGTCTAAAAGACTTTTGAGATGAGATTATTAAGTTGGGAATCGAGGATGAGGATTGGGAAATCAATAGGATATATTAAGGAAATTAATTTTGAGAAATTAATTGTTCTTAAGGAAATTAATTTTCAGAAATTAATTGTTCTTAAGAAAATTAATTTTGAGAAATTAATTGTTCTTAAGGAAATTAATTTTCAGAAATTAATTATTCTTAAGGAAATTAATTTTCAGAAATTAATTGATCTTAAGGAAATTAATTTTGAGAAATTAATTGTTCTTAAGGAAATTAATTTTCAGAAATTAATTGATCTTAAGGAAATTAATTTTGAGAAATTAATTGTTCTTAAGGAAATTAATTTTCAGAAATTAATTGATCTTAAGGAAATTAATTTTGAGAAATTAATTGTTCTTAAGGAAATTAATTTTCAGAAATTAATTGATCTTAAGGAAATTAATTTTGAGAAATTAATTGTTTTTAAGGAAATTAATTTTGAGGAGCATCACAAATCTCAACTACGGTAAACGAAAACGAGTCTCCTCCATATTTAAATTTATTGACGCTTAAGTTTCACAACAATATTGTAGCAAATTCTACGGTTTCGCGGAAACGAGATCTAAATATAAATACAATCTCGTGTAGAAGGAGAGACATATTTCTAAGAATATAATACATAAATCATCTCTCGGTCGATTACTATTGATACGCGATAGATTTGTCACTCGAGCGGTGAAACGCGCGTTCTGTTTTCATGCAAGAATCCATTTAAAGCCCATTTTATAATATATGCGTGCCTCTAATCCTCTCGTATATCCTATAACTTATCAGTTAAATAAATTTAGCGATTTCGAAATTTACAATCATCGCGCTATTAAAAGTCATACGATCTTTTTCTTTATTTGGAATTAATTATTTTTATGACTTTTGACTTTGTGGAAGTTTATAAACGCAACGAGTACACTATAATTAGAATCGAACTTTGGCTTTGCTCGCATATATAGTCGTGTCATCTCTCGTCTGTTGGAAAATCAATTTGCTGTGGACGCGATATATAATATGGGCGACAGATATTCATTTCGATATGGAAAGATTGTTTTTCCGTTCTCGAAATTTGTCTTATTTTGTTTCTGTGCAGTTTGTTAAATACTATACGTGCATGCCAATAATATATAATATAGATATTAAATTTATATTAAACAGTTATTTTACTAGTACATGTATTAATATTAATAATAATTTTCTATCATGCAAATTTTATTTTGTATTTTAATTTGCGCTATTGTAGTTATTTATGATACACTTTTTTATGATAACTGTGTATAGACTAAAAAGGTATTCGTACTATTGCTATATTATTTCATGGAAAAATTTTGATTTAAATAATTCGAAATTAATTCCTGGGTCCTGATTCTTTGTCTCTAAAATTTTGTGTATTAATATATATATAAATATTATTTTGAATATAACTTCATATCAATAGCAATTTATTCTTTCATTCCTCGCTACAATAATCACTTAATATTTATAAATTTTTCGCATAAATGTTACATTCTCTTCTTTTTTTATTTTTATATAATTTAATTTTATATAGTCCGTGTCTCTGATACACACATATCAAAATTCTTTTTTTTTTTTTTCATAACGCGAAACTATCTCGCGATATGTCACGGGAATGACAGTTGCGCGACATTCCTCGCGTAAATCCGAGCAAGTA